TCAGGTGGTTGGAATGTCGAACTGAATCCTTTATTTCGCTCACTGGGTGGACTGTTCTAGTTCCATGTGTCATGATTAATGGATGTCAGTTGTCAAATATCTCCTGTTGAATCCTATCTCCAAGGACACATGGCACAATGGATAAAGTCGTTGGTTAAATCCACTGACAGAAAACAAAGAGTGTGAGTTCAATTCCCGGGTAAGGGTATATTTATTTTTTACAATCATATTTCTTCAAAACTGTTTATGTACATTTGTGTAACATTTACATTTGTTTTAACATTGTTTAAACTCTTATGTCCTCAAATCACAAATCCCGATTCGCATCCAATTAAATAAATACTTTTGAGATGTATTCTTTTAATTCGCCCACTGTGTGGGGATTACTCTCATAAACCTTATTCTTTACTACACCCACTTTTGACTAATTTTTGTAATCGAAAACTGAAGTGAATCCGACTGAAAAATAAATAGAATTTTTCGCTAGTAAAACAAAGCTGGAATTATAGCAGGTTGACTGATTCGATTGTTGGCGTTACAAATTGAGTTTTTACAACCATATAAAATGGTGCCATAAAACTGGAGTCTTTGTGGCATATTCCCGCAATATTCGAGCAATATTCTTTGCAATTTCTTTCAATCATTCCATCCATGCAAGGCCGGAATTCCACTAGAGAATTACAGGTAGTGAAAGTGAAAGTGAAAGTGAAAGTGAAAGACAAGATTAAGAATACGGAGGATGGAGGGAAGGATAAATGAGGAACGGAGTTCAAGAATACATGAGATAGCGATTGATGATGTATTTAAATTTGTGAAGATTTTAATTATAAGAGAAGCAAGAAAACGGAAGTGAGTTCCAATGAAAATAAACTATCGGAGTAGAAGTAGTGGTTGCATTTAAGTATTTTGACTATAAAAGGGTGCGACCTAGATACCAATCTACCATCTCGCTTAAATTAATTTAGTCGAGACACCAAGGACAAATAGCTCGTATACTGAGTTTTTTTCAGTAATGCTATTTTTATAATTTGGAATATATCAAGAATAGCAAAAATGAAAAACTAATTTACAAGACGTTGTGTGACGTGGTTAAATACAAACGTGAAAGCAATTCGTCACGGGAAGAAGGCTCCACTGTTTTCTTTCACAGTGATCTCTGTAATAAGACTCAGATATGATTGACTTGTCGATCCTTTCTTCTTAATCCAGCCATGATCAGGTCACTTTTGAACCTTAGCATGGATCACTATCTTGCATAAAATATCCAGTGTCACTAAGCATTTGAGTGGAATAAATGCTAAGAGGTCTTTCTTGAAGGACCTAAATACATTTTAATATTAATGTTGCCAGTGCATTTTATCCAGAAGAGGGAGTAGTCTTCCAAATCGCTCTCCAAACAATCCCCGAAAACACCTTGTTTTACAGCTGGTTACCGGCCATTTTAGGTAAACTCCAAAACTGGATAATTCCAGACCCTGATACATCTACTGGCAGAAAACGGAATAAAGGATGATTCATATTAGATGAATACACCTTAGCAGAGGCCAAACTCTTATTGGACAGGCAATTTGTACATTCCTTTTTTTTTCTTAACGTTTGATGAATTGAGCAAAGCCTTGCGTCTGGCGATCTTCTTTGTGGTAGCCAATTCTATGAAGAATCTTTCTAGCTGTTCTCTGACTCACATAGAGAAACGCTGTTATGTTGCAAACCCTTCTATCGTGCGTTACTTGACACAGGCCGTTAAACAGAACATGGTGACACGTTCTATTTGTTTCATTTCTAAACTGAGTGAATAATCTATTTACTGTAGAAATAAGATAGTAAGGGTTTCTTCAATTCTGCTGTGACCCATTATAACTTTTCCTTAAAGTTTACTAACTCACTAACCCTTAGCTAATGCTTCCCTGTTTTGTATCTGGGCTACATTTTTAGAATAAACTTTTGCTTGGCCTTCACCAAAGTTTATGTGATAAAACGTACATTAAAAAAAAAAACAAAACAAACAAACAACAACAACACAGAAAGATTTAAAATGAGACAACCGCGGATTCTTAAACAAGACATTATCATTGATAATATTCTCCTCCAATTTGTAGATCCTATTTAGTATATTCTTATTATTTGATATAATTACACTATGATAAAATGGGTCAATAATTATTTATATCTATTTATACTGGGACTCATGTACGCAATCTTTGATTGTTTTTCAGTCATTCCTCCTCACCAGCTACCCTCTTCCCTCGCAACTATGAGGAGTGCTGCACCGTTTGGAAAATACTGTTCTAAGAATTACTATATTGGAGAAGAAAAAAACTAGCAAAATAAGCAGTGGGAATTAATTAGATATTTTAAGGAATTGGTGCCTTGAGATATAAAGTTGAAAATGGGGATGTATATTTACTTTTGATGTGTCTGTGTAGAGAAACAAACAGAGAAAGAATCAAGTGTAACTGACCTAAATAGCGAACTGCTGAACACAGTGGCCATATCTAATACAATAGAACACGGTTTGCGTAGGTCGATCTGAGTGTCAAGTCAAAACAATAGCGTGACAAAATTCGACCCACAAACTGCTTATATAGAACGACAATCTCCAAGGTGAGAAGCGAGACAATTGGGGTTACAGAAAGCGAAACCAACAGTCTGAGTGAGCGGCAGATACATAGTCTGGGAAGAGCCAGAGAAGCTGAGGAGGAGAATAATGAAATAAAACAAGATTTATTCCTCGCCGATATAATGTACACGCCGAACCCAATACCGCCCATATTTGCTCAACATAGTTGCAGGTAGAATCCGTGTGGGTTGAGCAAACACACATGAGCCCGAGTAAGAGTCTGCAGCAGAGATTTGGTTGCAACCATAGCTGGAAAAAAACAAAACAAAACAATGTGCTAGCCATTATTGTGTAAATAATAGGTTTAAATTGCGTTGTTCTTTCTATAATAAAGGCATTAAAATTAAATATTCTATGATAAAGACACCTGATATAGTATATACGTATATATTATAATATTACTTATTGTAAAACGCAGATTGTGTGTGTGTGTGTGTGTGTGTGTGTGTGTGTGTGTGTGTGTGTGTGTGTGTGTGTCTGTACGTCTATATATTGGATCGGATTTACTACATTTTTCAACCGATTTCAACAAAACTTCACAGGACTGCGTAAAATTACCTTGCGGTGGTTCTGACAGCATCAAAAATTGCTAAAACACAATTGTTTTTGCACGAAATCAATTTGAAAACACGATAAAACACGATTCTCTCGCCAGAATGAAAGGGGGCAACTCATATCGAGTTATACTTATAAAACCCAGGTTGTGTGTGTGTGTGTGTGTGTTCGTTTATATATGGAATCGGATTTCAACAAAACTTCACTTTTTTTTGGCAGGTAGTATTTCTTATTGTCTTGCAAACTTTTTTCTTTATTTTTACATTCAGAATGCTTTAAAAATTCCATTTACAAGACAATTGTTTATAATAAAATTCTATTCAATCGATAGACTCATAACGATTGAAAACAATGTTTTTGTTTGAGTTTCGGTTTGACCAATTCGTAAAAAAAAACAAAAAAATAATAATTTTAAGACATGCGTGTCCGTCAACCTTAAACAATAATCTTTGTCAATTTTATTTTTCAGTCTTTATGATGGTCGATACTTGATCTATCTCTTACTGTTATATCCCCGGGCAACATACCTTCAAACAAAACACCATTTAGTATAATTTCTTACCTTCTAAGTCTCAAATTAAATGCATGTAACGATATTAAATAGACTAAATGCAAAGAGAAAGACATATTGACAATGTTAAATTACCTCTCTCTTCTAATGGTTTGTCTACAAACAATTATGCAATTAGCATTTACTAATACAAATCTCAAATTGATATTCATGTTTCTGATAAATAAAATTATTTTTACAGCTGATTACGACCACCCACGGACGTAATCTGCAAACCACATCATAAAATAAGTATCTCAATGGTTCAAAATATTCAGTGGAATTTCCATTCCACCTGATTATTCACAAGTCATTTAGGGACATTTCAAGTCGCTCCAAGAATAATGAGTAAGAATGTCATCGATATGTTCTACACTTCTTTTCAGTTATCTTACAACGTTTCAATGTTTGTCCAATGATTTATTTTCTTAAAGATGCCCTTTTTCTCAGATGCTTGAATAAAATTAACTTTATTCTCTCTGATTCACTTTCTCGAAGTAAATAGTTACAAGCTGAAACGGGGAGATAATGAATTCTCTCATTCACAAATATTGGAAAACTACGTTGAATAAATAACACCTAATGGTTAAGATTGGCAGAGAGAGAGAGAGAGAGAGAGAGAGAGAGAGAGAGAGAGAGAGAGAAGAAATTGAAAATGCTTACTTGGCTGATTATAAATGAAATTGATGCGTGATGTCCGAAATGTTTACTTCGACTTTTAGATGGGTATGCTGCTTGAATAATCATCTTCGCCAAATGCCAAATAATTCTGCACACCACGAAACACAACAGATAATGCAAACGCAATCCTTGACTGCATTCCCACCTTGGAAGTGTAACCGTTCTTTGAGATGCTTACCGTTTCCATGTTAAAAAAAAGAAGAAAAGAAAAAAAAAATTCGGATTCAAATCCGATTGTATTGCAGGCGTTGATAGATTGTCGCCTTTGTGCGCACGCGCACGTTTCTTCTGGCGTTCCCTAGATTTTATACTTTGTTGTTTCTTAGGTTTAAGCCATTTGCCATCTAAAACAAAATACAAGGAAGAGACGGAATAGAATAAAGGTGAAAAATACAGAAAGGAACGAGAGCGTGAATCCTGTGAGAGAGAACGGCAAAAGGGGAAGAAGAAAAACGGGATGCAGGAAATGGTACACATGGCAAAATAAAGATCGTATTAAAGTGTAAAATAAATACAAAGGAACTGGCAAATAAAATTAAAAATATTGCAGAACGGATCTCAAAACGAAATCTGAAATAGGATAAAAACATAATGTTAGAGAGAAAGAAAATATATATGAAGAGGGAATGAAAATGTAATTGAAAAAGTGTAAAAGAAAATAACAATAACAATAAAATAAAACGTGAAGAAATGCCTGGTTGAAAGCAAAGTAATGGTAAAAACAGAACGAAAAGAAAGAAGAACACGACAGAAAGAAAAAGGGACGGAAATGACCAAAAAGAAAAAAAGAAAAAAAAGAAAAAAGCACGAATGAAATGTAAAAGAAAGGATAGAAGGAAGGACATGAAAGAAGGAAAAAGATAGAAAAGAAATTAAATAAATACAAGAAAGAAGAAAAAAACAAAGAAAAGAGGAAGATGGGATGCATATGAGAATGAAAAATCGAAAGAAAGTCAAAATGAATAAAAAGAGAGAATGAAAAAGGAAGGGAGAAGGAGTACGGAAAGACGAAAGATGGAAGAAAGGAGGAATGATGCACAAGATACTGGAAACGGAAACTAAATATGAAAAGAAAGACAAGGGAGAATTGAAAATAATAATTATCGAGGAAGGAAGAGCAAAAGAAAAAGAAAAAGAGAAATGAAAGAAACGAGCAAGGAAGGAGAAAAGAAAATAGGAAAAAAATGGAACGATAAAAGTAAAAATAGTACTGAAATGAAAAAAAAAAGGTCCAAATAAAAGAAAGAAAAAGAAATTACACAGAATGAGAAAAGATAATAAAAAGGAGATAGAAAGCGGGGTGTAAAGAAAATAAAATAAAATAGGGAAATAAAGAATTAAGAAACAGTTTAAAGAATTAAGAGAAAGGATGAATTTTGTCTATAGGAAATTAAAGAGGAAGACAAAATGGAACGGTTATAAAATAACTAAAGCCCTCTCCACACCAAATAATGATACGATCAACGTTTTGGTTAAGAGTAAATGAAGTGAAAAATTAGAAAGGTGTGAAAAGGGGAAATAAAAAAAATGTGATGGAACCAAAGAAAAAACTGTTGAAAAAAACAAATTAGAGAAAGAAAAGAAAATGTCCGAAAAGAAGAGAAAATGTAAAAAGAAAAAATACCATCAAAACAAAGATATGTGTGGTAGCATATCTATGGACGACAATCAATGGGTATGTCCACATTCACATAAATACAGTCGTAAATACTGTATGTTGGTCTGCAGTCGGATATTCGTCTCCAGCTGTTCTGGTTAAAATCACTGCATCCGGGAAGAAATGATCCCCAGACGGTCTCGGGAAATAGCTACCCGTCCCTGTCTTATAAGGGCTCTCGGGGAATTTTTGACCGTGCCGACAGGATAGGCACCTCACATTAAATTTGGCCTTGTGCCACATGTGACCGCGTGCGGCAGTTGGTAGATATCCTGAAGTTGGAGATCCATCTCCAGCTGTGCTGGTGAAACTCTCTGCCTCCGAGCTGAGAGGATCCCCAAACGAGGCTATGTCGAAGGGCAGCATCTCGTATCTGGAAACAGCTACCCAATCCCGTTTTAATTGGGGTCTACTGAAAATTTTTAAGCTATACTACGGGCTTGAATGCTCCACTTTAAATTCGGCCTTGTGCCACATCTGACTGCATGGGGCGGTTGGTAGATATACTTCAGTTGGAGATGCATTGTGGAATCTACTTGACTCACGTCTAGCAGTTCACTGCTTCTTCTACACGCCGCTGGCGAATCATTTTCATGTGTTGTTCTTGTCCTATGTATTATCGTTCATTACCAACCTTAGTTTGATTATTCTATTCAGTAACTTTCCCTGGGTTACAACTATGTGAAAAAGAGAAAGAAAAGTAATGAAAAGAAAGGAAAGAACAACTGGGAGTAAAAAAAATAACCAGAAAGAAAAAAAAATCAACGAAATTACAAGAGAAAATAAAAATAAAAAAGTGAAAATTAAAAAAAGAAAAAAAAGAATGGAAAAAAAAACAACGCATAGAGAAAACATGATCAAAGAGATGAAGAAAAAAAACAAAGGATGCATAAATAAATATAATGAATACCAGTGTACGCAGGAGTCTGATCTTGTGCAGTATGGACATATTTTTACCTCTCTATGTGGTCTTCAGTTTAGAGATTGCAGTCAAAGTCTGTGCAGTTCTTGCAAAGATCTCTGGTCTTAATCCTCAGTCAGTGATGATTGCTCGAAGATATTTGAACATGGTCTCAAGTTTCTTCTGCAGTGATGGAAACAAAGGCTATGGTCACTGCGTTTACAAGCAGAGATGTGAAAAGAAGGATATTGATCCCTTAAATACTCCATGTCATATCCCAAATGAATATACTAAAAGAAAACAGTGTTCTTGATTCCCCAATCGAGGGCAACGTACAGTGGATGAGGGGGTGGTGTGTTGATGAAATGAATACCTCTGTCATCAACATAGCCCCTAAAGTTGGTCGAAAATGCTCTTGAACAAAAACTTAATATACTCTAAAAAATAATAAAAAGAAAATATAAAAGAGAATAAAAACCAGAAAATTAAATGAAAGAATGGAAAAAAAAGAATGATATAGAAAAATGAAAAAAAAAATGTAACGGAGAAAAGAGAAGTATGAACAGGGAATGAATGAAAAGAGAAAAGTAATGCAACAAAAACACGTACAGAGAATAAAATAATGTCAAAACGAAATATCCAATGAGTGACAATATGAAAAATAAAATTAAAAATGACAAGTAAGTTATGAGAGGAAGAAAATGGTGAAAAAAGAAATTCAATGAATTGAAAGTAAAGACTGAAATTTGGAAATGAGTGGTAAAGACTGAAATTTGGAAATGAGAAGTAAAGACTGAAATTTGGAAATGAGAAGTGTCAAAATGTAAAGTGAGAATGAAAAGAGGGAAAATAAATCTCTCATAAAAGGAAAGAAATAATTGAAGAGGTGTAAAGATAGGTACCACAAAAGACAAGAGAAAATGAAAAAAAAACGGAAAAGAAAGGAATCACAGTGAATCCGAGAGAAGGAAAAGACTAAAAAGAAAAGCGCCCAGATAGAACAAGAGAGAAGGAAAAGAGGGAAAAAAGTGCACAGAAAGGACAAGAGAGAAGGAAAAGAGTGAAAAGAAAAACGCCTAGATAGGAAAAGAGTGAAAAGAAAAACGCTAAGATAGGACGAGAGAGAAGGAAAAGAGTGAAAAGAAAAAAAGAAAGAATGACGAAGAGAAAGAAAAGGAGAGTGAAAAAAGAAAAAGAAAATGACAAAAAAGACAAGAGAGAGAGGAAAAGAGTGAAAAGAAAAAAAGAGATAGACAAAAGAGAGAAGGAAAAGAGGAAAAGAAAAAAGAAAGAAAAGAGGACAAGAGAGAAGGAAAAGAGAAGGAAAAGAAAAGGAAAAGATAGAAAAGAAGAGAGAAGGAAAAGAGAGGTTGAAGAAAAAGCCCCAGATGAGGACAAAAGAAAGGAAAGAAAGAAAAAAGAAAAAGAAAGATAGGACGAGAGAGAAGGAAAAGAAAGAAAAAAAAAACGCCTAGATACAGGGACGAGAGAGAAGGAAAAGAAGAAAAAAAAAAAAAATGACGAAAGATAGAACAAGAGAGAAAGAAAAGAGGACGAAAAAGAGACAGAAGGACAAGAGAGAAGGAAAAAAAAGAAAAGAAAAGTCTAGATGAGGAAAAGAGGAAAAGAAAAATAAGAAAGGAAAAGAAAGAGAAGGAAAAGATGAAAAAAAAACGCCAAGATAAAGACGAATAGAGAAGGAAAGAGAAGGAAAAGAAAAAGATGAAAAATAAGACAGAAGAGAAAAGAAAGAAAGAAGAAAAGAAAAAAAAGAAAGATAGGACGAGAGAGAAGGAAAAGAGATAAAAGAAAAAGAAAAGAAAGAAAAGAAAGAAAGAAAAAAGAGACAGAAGAAAAAGAAAAGATAGGAACAAAAGAAAGAAAAGAGGAAAAATGAAAAAAAGAGAAGATAGGAAAAGAGAGAAGGAAAAGAAAGAAAAGAAAAGAAAGAAAAGATAAGAAAAGAGAAAGGAAAAGAGTAAAAGAAAAAGCAAAGAAAGAAAAGAGAGAAGGAAGATGAGGGAAAAGAGAAAAGAAAGGAAAAGAGAGAAAGGAAAAGAGTGAAAGAAAAATGAAAAAAAGAGAAGAAAACATGAAAGAAAGAAAAGAGAAAGAAGGAAAAGAGAAAAAAAAAAAGATAGGAAAAGAAAAGGAAAAGAGTGAAAAAAAAAGAGAAGAAGGAAAAGAGAGAAGGAAAGAAAAAAAAGAAAAGAAAAGATAGGAGAAGAGAAGAAAGGAAAAAAAGACAGAAGGAAAAGAGGAAAAGAAGAAAAAAAAAGAAAAGAAAGAAAGAGAGAAGGAAAAGAGAAAAGAAAAACGCCCAGATAGGAAAGAAAAGGAAAGAAAGAAAGAAAAGAGAAGGAACAGAGAGAAGGAAAAGAGTAAAAAGAAAAGAAGATAGGAAAAGAGAAAGAAAAGAAAAAGAAAACGAAAAGATAAAGAAGAAAAAAGGAAAAGAAAAAAAAAATGCCTAGATAAGAAAGAAGAAGAAAAGAGAGAAAGAAAAAAAAGAAGGAAAGAGAGAAGAAAAGAAAAGAAAAGAAAGAGATGACGAAAAGAGAGAAGAAGAAAAAGAGTGAAAAGAAAAAAAGAAAGGAAAGAGAGAAGAAAAGAAAAAAAAGAAAGAAGGAAAAGAGAGAAATAAAAGAAAAGAAAGAAAAGAAAAAGAGAAAAAAAGAGACAGAAGAAAAAGATAGGACAAGAGAGAAGGGAAAGAAAGAAAAGAAAAAAGATGAGGAAAGAGAGAAGGAAAAAGGAAAAGAAAAAAAAGAAAGAAAGAGAAAGGAAAAGAGAGAAGGAAAAGAGACAGGGAAAGAGAGAAGGAAAAAAGAAGATGAAAGAAAAAGAAGGAGAAGGAAAAGAAAAAAGAAAGAAATTTGACAAGAGAGAAAGAAAAGAGGAAAGGAAAAGAGAAAGAAAGAGAAAAGAAAGAAAAGAAAGAAGATGACAAGAGAGAAGGAAAAGAGTGAAAATGAAGAGAAAGGAAAAGAAAAGAAAAGAAGAAAAGAAAAAAGAAAATGAGAAGAAAGGGAAAAGAAAAGAAAATAAAAAAAAAAAAAGAAAGAAAAGGAAAGAGAGAAGGAAAAGAAAGAAAATGAAAAAAAAGAAAGAAAAGGAAAAGAAGAAGACGAAAAGAGGAAAGAAAGAAAGAAAGGACAAGAGAGAAGGAAAAGAAAGAAGAAAAAAGCCTAGATAGAAAAGAAAGAAGGAAAAGAGTGAAAAGAAAAAAATTCTAGAAAGGAGAAAGAAAAGAAAAGAAGATGAAGAAAAGAGAGATAGGGAAAAGAGAAGAATATGAAAAAAAGAAAGAAAAAGAAAGAAGATGACGAAAAGAGAAAAAGAGAAAAGAGAAATGAAAGAGAAAAGAAAAGAAAGAGATGAGAAGATGAAGAGAGAAGGAAAAGAAAAAAAGAAAAAAAGAAAAAAAAGAAATGACAGAAGGGAAGAGAGAATAAAAAAAAAAAATAGAAGAAAGAAAGAAGAAAAGAGGGAAAGAAAAGTGACGATAGGACAAGAGAAAGGAAAAGAGAAAAAAGAAAAGAAAGCCCAGAAAGGAGAAGAGAGAAAGAAAGAGTGAAAAAAAAGAGACAGAAGGAAAAAGAGAATATGAAGGAAAAGAAAGAAAGAAAGAAGATAGGAAAGAGAGAGAAGGAAAAGAGTGAAAAGAAAAAAAAAGAAAGGACAAGAAAGAAGAAAAGAGGAAAAGAAAAAGAGACAGATAGGAAAAGAGAGAAGGAAAGAAAAAAGAAAAGAAAGAAGATGACAAAAGGAAAAGAGAAGGAAAAGAGTGAGAAATGAAAAAAAAGAAAGAAAGAAGAAAAGAAAGGAAAAAGAGAGAAAAGAAAAAGAGTGAAAAGAAAAAAAGAAAGAAAAGAAAAGAAAAGAGAAGAAAAGAAAGAAAAAGAAAAGAAAATGAAAGATAGGAAAGAAGAAAGAGAGAAAAAAAGAAAAAAGAAAAAAGAAAAGAGAAAGAAGGAAAAGAAAAGAAGAAAAGGAAAAAAGAAAAAAAGAAAATGAAAAGACAAGAGAGAAGGAAAAGAAAGAAAATGAAGAAAAAGAAAAGAGAGAAGGAAAAAGGGAAAAAAAGAGACAGAAGAAAAGAAAGAAAAGAAAAAGAAAAAAGAAAGAAAGAAAAAAAAAAAAGAAGATGGAAAAGAGAAAAGAAAAAAAAGAAAAAAAAAAAAGAAAGACCAAAAAGAAAAAAGAAGAAGGAAAAAGAAGAAAAGAAAGAAAAGAAAGAAAAGAGAGAAGGAAAAGACAAAAAAAAGAAAAAGGAAAGAGAAAAAGAAAAAAAGAAAAGATGAAAGGAGAAAAGAGAAAAGAAAAGAAAAGAAAAAGATGAAAGGGAAAAGAAAGAAAAGAAAAAAATGAAAAAAAAGAAAGGAAAGAGAAGAAAAGAGGAAAAAAAAGAAGAAAAGAAAGAGAGAAGGAAAAGAGAAAAGAAAATGACAAGATAAGAAAGAGAAAGAAAAGAAAAGAAAGAAGAAAGGAAAAGAGAGAAGGAAAAGAAAGAAAAGTGAAAAAAAGAAAAGAAAAGAAAGAAAGAAGATGACGGAAAAAGAGAGAAGGAAAAGAGTGAAAGAAAAAGAAAGGAAAGAGAAGAAAGAAAGAAAAGAAAAAAAAAGAGAAGAGAAATGAGAAAGAAAAGAAAGAAAAGAAAGAAAGATGACAAGGAAAAGAGAAGAAAGAAAAGAAAAAAAAAGAAAAAAGAAAGAAAAGAAAAGAAAGAAAGATGAAAAAGAGAAAAGGAAAAGAAAGAAGATGAAGAAAAGAGAAAAAAAAAAAAGAAAAAAAAAAAAGAGAAGAAGGAAAAAAAAGAAAAGAGGAAAAAAGAAAAGAAAGAAAGAAGAAGAGAAAAAAAGAGAAAGAAAAGAAAGAAAGAAAGAAGAAAAGAAAGAAAAGAAAGAAGATGACGGAAAAGAGACAGAAGGAAAAGAGTGAATATGAAGAAAAA